GACACAGCCCGCACCAATCCTGCCCGGGCAGTCCCAGGGGCAGCAGCCGTCGGGTTCGCCTCTGCCTCGAGGGGTTAAAGCTGCTGGCGGCAGGAATGGGAACTCAGGCGTTCCGGGGCTGCTCGTGAAAAGCAGCAGCAAGGAATGACACAGGCTTTGGGCTGGAAAAGACCTACAAGGCGATGCAGGCAGTGTCCTGGGGCAGGAGGCTGCTTCTGGAAGGGCATTTGGGAATTGATTTGTCTCATAGGGATTGGGTTTCCCTCCTTTTCCCCGCTGGAGCTGGCGGTGGCAAGGCTGAGGTTAAGGCACCCCAAAGCCTTGAGTCACGTTTTCAGGCCAGTGGCTCTCTTCTGGGCCAGCAGAACTCCTTCCCTTCCCAGAAAGCTGCTTCACGCGCCTCCAGCCCGTGGGCTTCTCTCCCAGGCGAGCTTCCCATTGTGCAGTGCTCATGGGCAAGGTGGAAACTCAGAGCCTCCCTCTGCTCACCCAGGCTGCGGCCTCTGCCACCACCATGGGGGGGGCCTTGAGGAGGCAAAGAGCCTCCTTTGATTCCAGTTGAAAAATCACAGCCAGATGGTCCATCATCGGCTTCGGCAGCCAAAGGAGTGGAGATGCTTCAGGTTCAAGGGCTTCCCGCTGCGCAGCGCACGCAGCGAGGCGGCTGTGCGGGAGCTGCTTGCTTCTCTCTTTGGTTCTGCTGGTAATGAGGGATTGATTTTCATTGCTGGGGTTGAGGTTGGCAGGACCCGCTCTGTCTGCAGCAAAAAGAGGGGCAGATACGGGTCTTGGAGCTGAGCCCTGGTAAGTGACAAGAGATGCACCCCCCAGACCTGCCCACGGGGTTGCTCCTGCAGTTCCTTTCAGGTTTGCTGTGTTATGTGGGGATGTATCCCACTGGGATTAGGGGAGAGCTCGGCGAGTGACCTTGGAGGAGCCACAAAGCTGATGCCAGCCTCACAGCATCATTGTTGGAGCATCTTAACACCAGCATGCAGTGGGAGGCTGTGGCTGCTCCCTTGGGTGGTGTGGTTCACCTTTAGCACGTGTGAGGACCCAAGGACTGGAGGCTGATATAAAACTGCTTGAGGACAGGCAGGAATGCTGCAGCATCCAGCCAGCCTGTGCTCTGGTTTGGGGCAGCTCAGGGTGGAGGAGCTGGGTGATGTGATGGAGCTGGAGACACCTGTGATGGAGAGAAGCAGCTGCCTGGGGCGTTGAGCACCTCTGGGAGCTGCACCCTGCTGCCTGCGATGGGATGTTGGTCAAGGAGCATCTCCTTTGTGCCGGGGCACGTCCAACCCCACCGTGGCATCCTGGTGAGCAGGACCCTGCCCTGAGCCAGCATAGGTGCTGTGTGACCCTGCGGGGTGCAGACCAGAGCTGGGCTGACTGCAAGGCGTGGGGTTTGCCCTCCTGACCCTGAAGGCCCTGAATAGCTTCAGATTCAGGCCCAGTCTGTGCATCTGGCATATTTCTGGCTCACTCATCGCGCTGGTATCCAGACACGAGCCCAAAATAGCTGCAGCTCCGTTGTGCCTGCTGCAAGTCTGTGGCTAAAACCCTTGAGGGGCTCATGGTGCTGGGGGGAGAAAGGGCCCTGCTGGCTCCAAGCCTGGCCCTGGCAGGAGCAGGCACTGCGGCTGAGGGGCAGGGGGGATGCTCCTCATGCAGACCCCCCCCAGCTCAGCTGCCTGCTCCCCCCACACTCCCTGCCACAGCCAGAGGCTCCCTTGCCCATCCTGCAGCACTTCTAGTGAGGCTGCAGCCGGGGGGGACAGGGCGAGCAGATGACAGTGATTGCTTTGATAAGATGGGCTTGATCCTTCTGGAACCAGTAGAGAGGCTCCTGTCTGGGGCTGGGTTTGCTCCTGAGGGAGGCAGCACCCCAGGGTGCTCCCGGGCACCCCAAGTGGGGCAGAGCCAGCAGTGAGTGTCCTCATCCTCCTCGCCCAGCACCCTGCATTGTGTGCACGGGCCCTGGTGCTCAGCATCTTGCCATAAGGAGTGATGGAGGAGAACATTCCCATCGCCGGCAGAGCTCAAGGCCAGGTTGGACACGGGCTTGGAGCAGCCTGCTGTAGTGGGAGGTGTCCCTGCTTGTTAAAATGGGATGAGCTTTAAGGTCCCTTCAACCCAAACCGTTCCACGGTTCTATGGTAAGGTGCTGAACAAGTGTTTTCATGCTCCCTGTGTAGGGGTGCTCTGCAGGGCCACCCCTTGCCAGTGGCTTGGTGACAGCGTGTGTTGTCCTGCATCCCACCCCGTGTCCCTGGCTGGCAGAGAAAGGATTCTGCAGGGAAGTGACCCTCCGTGGGCATGGGGATGCTGGGCTGAGGGTGCTGGTAGCAACGCTCGTGTGGTGCCCCCCACCTGCCACCCTTTTTGCCATCAGAGGACCTCAGGCTCGAAGCTGGGGCTCGCGGGGACCCGAGTGGCCCTGGAGCATCTCAGGGATGGGCGAGCATCTCCTGCGCCGGCCGGGCATGGGCTGGGCTGGGGGAGCCCTCTCGTGGTGGCTGCGCTGAGCGGTCCGAGAGTGCGGGCTCTGCCAGCGCAGCCTCCCCGGGGATCATGCTCCATCCTCACGGGCCCTTCGGGTCCCGTCTGCCAGGGGTTGCTCACCCCACTGCAGAGCCAGCCTGAGGGTGGCCCTGGGAGGGGACAGGGACCTGCCCCCGTGGCCCTGCAATGGGGCAGTGAGCGGCTTGTGTGTCCCGGAGGTGGGCAAGGGACCAGTCCCATGCTGGGACAGCGAGGGGTGCCCATGGTGGGACAGGGATGGAGCAGTGTCCTCATGCTGAGCCCTGACATAGGGCTGAGCATCTCTGTGGTGGGATGGGGGGACAGGGTCCCCAGCCCGGTGAGAGCTTGGAGGGAGGGAGCTTGGTGGCACTCAACCATGTGCCGTTGGGTCCGTAAGATGGGACCCTGACTCTTGATGTTATGGTTGGGATGGAGCCATCCCTTGCGGATGGGCCAGGGGTGGGGTGTGTGGGGTATTGGTGGGATGAAGCGGAGGGGACCACGTCCCGGAGCATCCTCCTGAGGAGATGTGGGGGGGGCTCAGCCCCCCCCCGGCCCCATCCCTCCCGCTCACGGCGCCGGTGCCAAGCACAACCCCATCCTTTTCCAACCCTTTATTGTAAATAAGTTGTGGCATCGCAGGAGGCTGCCGGGGCCGGGGCCGGAGCCGGGCACCGCGTTGGGAACACGCGGCGGCTCCGGCTCCGCAGCACGTGCAAAGCAGGAGCTCGGGATGGGATGTGGGGGCTGGGGGGGGGTGGTGGTGTCACCACCCCGCTGTGCGTGGCCCCTGCTGGGAATGTGGGGCTGGAGGGGGGGGTTTGATCTCTTGGCTCTGGAAGCACCGGGTGAAGCCCCTGTCCGAGCCGCTGGCACCTCCGCGGTGGCACCGCTCGGCCTCACAGCGTTAAAATCGTTAAGACCCCCCATATTTATATATATATATATATGTGTGTGTGTATTAATGTCCCCAAACCCAGTGAGAACTGAAATAGAGGCGTCCCCTCGCCACGGGGACCACCCTGGCACGGTGGCCGTGACAGTGGGGACATTGTGGTGACAGTGATGGAGATGGGGCTTGCTTCAGTTTCCCCCTCCCTGTGCCTGTGTCCCTGTGTCCCCAAAGCCCATCCCACAAGGAGCTACCATTCTGTCCCACTGCCAGCACCCTGCCGTGGCAGTGCCCTGTCCTCTATCTTCTGCCACCGCAGCCAAGGCACCCATGGGTGCTGAGCGGGGCTGTCACACAACACAGGGACCACCATGTGCATCGACCATAGCTGGGCTTGGGGACACCCTTGGTCACCTCCTGCCTTAGTGGCAAGGGGCCCTATGGTGGGCAGGGACACTGGCCAAGGGAGGACACAGGGGGACACCCCCACTGCTATGGGCATGGGGTGTTGTCCCCCATTATCCCCTTCCTGAGTGCCACCAGCCGTGTCCCCATACACACACACTCATTGTCCCTAGAGGTGTCCCCCCATGCTGAGCATCACCAGGGCTTGAAGGGACCAGTGTGGGCCCCCGGTGCTCTGTGGTGCTGTGGGTTGGGTGGCCCTCCAGAGCCACCCCATGCAGGGTGACGTGTGCCATGGGGATGGGGTGACGCATCCCACCCCCCTCCCAGGGGGTCAGGGACACCCAGCAGGTGCTGTGCAACCGCCTGCCATGGGGCAGGGGGACACACGTGCCACCCACCAAGGACCCCTGTGTGCCACCAGCCTGGGGCTCACCCTATAATCCAGGCCCCCCCTCTGCTGTCACCGACCCTCCCTCCATCCCCAGTGCCACCAGTTTGGGGTTCATCTGCCTGAGCTGGGGACGTGGAGGGGGGTCCCTGCCATAGAGGGATGCTTGTCCCCACCGCGGGGGACATTGGGGTTTCAATGGCTGGGTGGGTGCAGCCATGACATTGGGGGGACAAATCCCCACATGGGGACACACACACACATCTGGGGGTGCAGTCCTCACCCCCACAGACCCAGACCTGGCATCTGGGCTGGGGGGACACAACTTCCAGGCCTGGATACATTGGTACTGGGGGGCACTGGGCCTGACCTTTGGGGGGCCCGGGAAGCTGCTGATGGGGGGCAGAGGAGGGAATGTGGGGCGGGGGGGGGGGGGGGGGGATGTCCCTGGTTGCCCCTGCAGGTACATTCATCCCGGTGCCACCAGCCCGGGGGGGGGGGGGGGGCGGTACATTCGTGGCGGTGCGGTGGGGGACGGGGGGGGTGGTCCCGGGTGTCCCCCCCCCCGCTCTCCTCCACGGGCTCCCCGTTTAATTGCTGTTAATGAGGCGCTGGGCGGGGGGGGGGGGGGGGGGGGAGCGGGGCAGAGCCGCTCTGCTCAGGCCCCCCCGGACCTGCAACACAGAAGTGGGGGTGCATTTAGTGCGGGGCTGTGACATGGGGGGGACACATGGGGGGGGGACACTGAGCTGAAAAGAGCCAGCAACTGGTGTTGGGGGGGGGGGGCTGCTGCCAGTGTGTGACCCCCCCCCTTCCCTCCTTCAACCCCTGTCTCTTTTCAGCTGCGGGGGGCACAGAGATGGAGACAGCACGGCCGGACACACAGCGACACGGACAGACGGGCCCGGCCGGGGGGGGCTCCCACGCCGTCAGGCGACGGTGACAGTGACGGTGACGAGGAGGAGGACGAGGGGGGGGCACGGTTACACTCCCTGCTGCGCCGGGTCGTACCTTCCGCGGCGGATGTTCCTTGGGGGGCGGCGGAGGGGAGAGGAGAGGAGAGGAGCGTTAGTGCCAGCCCTGGGTGTGCGGGTGGCCGTGTCCCCCCCCCCCAACCAGGGTCCCAGGTCCCACAGGCAGCAGACGTGTGCAGGCAGAACAGGCATGGGGGCAGCAGCGCCATGGGTGACACCGACACCCCCCCAGTGCCACATGCGGGCAGGGGACCAGGCAGGGACAGGGAGGTGAGGGAGCCCCCAGGGACCCACGCTGTGGGTGATGCCCAGCTCGGGGGTGTCCCCAGGACGCGGTGGCAGCGCGCAGGAGGGATGTGGCCGGTGAGGGCCGCAGAGGGGACGAGCCATGCGGCGGCTGCTTACTTAAATCCCCAGCCTGTCCCCCCTAGGACGATGGCAGCCACCAGCACGGCCCCCGCGATGGAGCCGATAATGATATTGGTGCCACTGGGACCTGTGACAGGGAGGAGGGGACAGGGACACGCATCAGTGGGGGGACAGCCCCAGTGATGGGGGGGGGGCTGGGATGGGGCACGAACCGTGCCCAGCTGAGCTGCAGCACCAGGGTGAGGGAGACCCCCTTGGGCCCCCGGGGGAGGGAGGGGGTGTCTGGGGTCGCAGCGGGACGTGGGGAGCCCACCATGGGGCACACGGACCCTTGTAGCGCTCCGTCTCCCCCGTCGGCTTCGGCTCGGGGATGGGGTCGTAGACGCTGCAGTCCTTCCCCGTCCACTCCGCCCGGCAGATGCACTTGCCCTCATTGCTGCAGACCTGCGAGGGGACGGCGTCACCCCCCCCCCCGGCCCCACCGCCTTGTGACACCCCCCGAGGGGGGGGTCCCCTTCATTCCCCCCCCCCCGTGTCCCTCACCCCGTGGTCGTAGCAGATCTTCCCATCCCAGCTCCCGGGGCAGGAGCTGAAGTTAAAGGCTGTGGCTGGAAGGCATTTGCGGTCGAGACACAGCATCCCGGGCCCGCACGGGGTCCCGTCCTCCACGTAGCTCAGGTCCGAGCCGTCCACCAGCTGCACGTGGCCCCCCCTGCGCCGGCACGGGGGGAGCCGGTGACCCGGGGGGGCTCCTTCCCTTCCATGGGGGCACCCCGCGGCCATGGGGGCTCCGTCCCGGCCACTGGGGCTCCCTCCCGTCCATGGGGGCTCCCTCCCAGCCATGGGGGCTCCCTCCCGTCCATGGGGGCTCCCTCCCCACCATGGGGCCTCCCTCCTGTCCATGGGGGCTCCCTCCCTGCCATGGGGGCTCCATCCCATCCATGGGGGCACCCCGCGGCCATGGGGGCTCCGTCCCGGCCACTGGGGCTCCCTCCCGGCCATGGGGGCCCCCTCCCTGCCATGGGGGCTCCGTCCCCGCCATGGGGGCTCCCTCCCAGCCATGGGGGCTCCCTCCCGTCCATGGGGGCTCCCTCCCGGCCATGGAGGCTCCTTCCTGGCCATGGGGGCTCCCTCCCGGCCATGGGGGCTCCCTCCCGGCCATGGAGGCTCCTTCCTGGCCATGGGGGCTCCCTCCCTGCCATGGGGGCACCCCGTGGCCATGGAGGCTCCCTCCCTGCCATGGGGGCTCCCTCCTGGCCATGGGGGCTCCGTCCCATCCATGGGGTCTCTGTCCCTGCCATGGGGGCTCCCTCCCGTCCATGGGGGCTCCTCTCGGCCATGGGGGCTCCCTCCCGTCCATGAGGGCCCCCTCCCTGCCATGGGGGCTCCATCCCATCCATGGGGGCACCCCGTGGCCATGGGGGCTCCCTCCCGTCCATGGGGACACCCACCTGCAGTCCACGTAGCGGTTCTGGTGGAAGAAGGTGGTGGTGGCGACCTCTCCGCTGAGCTCCCCGAGCCGGGGGGGCCCCGAGATGTTGGCGCAGAGCAGGAAGCCGCAGAGCACGTCCCTGCCAGGCCCCCACCGTGTCAGCGGCCGGGGGGGGGGCACCCGGGAGGGGACACGGGGCCGGGGTGGGGTGGGGGGGGGTCACTCACTGCTTGTTGCACTGCAGCCAGCCCAGGCCCTCGCGCCCGCAGTTGCCCCTCTCGGTCCCCTCCACGTTGAGCTTCTCATAGCAGAAGCGCTCGGCTGAGCCTGGGGGAAGGGGGTGTCACCTGCCTGCCCCCCCCCGGTTCCACCGTGGCAAAGCCCCCCCCCACCGGGGCTGACACTCACCGCGGCCCCACAGCGCGTTGCACTGCCGGTCTCTGGTCTTGCAGCGCCCGCCATAGCATCGCCCCTGCGGACATGGCCATGGAGGTGGTGCAAGGACAAGGACCCCCCCCCCCAGTGCCAGGCACAGGGACCGGGAGCCGCGTGTGTGCAGGGGAGGGTGTTTGAGGTGCAGGGAGGGTTTGCTCATCCCATCACTGTGGGGGCGCACGTAGGAATGGGCTGCGGCTCCTGGAATACTGCTGGGACTCGGGATCCAGTGAGGGTTCACCCACCCTGGGGACCCTGGTACCCAAAGCCCGCATCCTGCACGTGTGTGGGGCTCAGTGCTGCTGCCATGACCAACATGCGCCAGCACCAGGATGCTGGAGCCCACCGGGATGTTCCCAAACCCCATAGGGACCGTGGCCCCCCGCAGGGACATTGCTGAGCCCCACGGCCCTGTCCCACCGGGCTCACCTGCTCGTTCTCACAGAAGTAGCCATCCAGCTTGTGGAGGTTGGGGGGGCACTGTCGGGGGACACAGAAGAGGAGGGGTGATGCCCCACGGCCCCACGCGTGCCACCGCGCCTCCTGCTCCAGCTCACCTGGCTGGAGTCCCCGGTGCAGGTCTCGGGGATGTCGCACTCATTGACAGCCTCCCGGCAGGACACTCCGCGCGGCTCGTACTGCACCCGGGATGAAGCCACCACATCAGGAGCCCACCGGATCGGATCCGTCCCTGCGGGATCCTGGATCATCCCCTTGCCCCTGCCCCTGCCCCTCACCTTGCAGCCCTTGCAGCAGAGCCCATCACTGCACATGGCGTCGTGGGTCAGCGTGCACTTCTTGCAGCAGTTCCCCCCACTCCTGGCGCACTCCTGCAGGGACAGCCACCGGTGCGTCACACCATGTCACGACATGTCACACCACGTCACGACGTGTCACACCATGTCATGACATGTCACATGACGTCACGACGTGTCACACGACGTCACGACGTGTCACACCACATCATGACATGTCACACCACATCACGACGTGTCACACCACATCACGACTTGTCACACCACATCACGACGTGTCACACCACGTCATGACGTCACACCACGTCACGACATGTCACACCACATCACAACGTGTCACACCACGTCATGATGTGTCACACCATGTCATGACGTGTCACGTCACGACATGTCACACCATGTCACGACATGTCACACTATGTCACAACGTGTCACACCACGTCACGATGTGTCACACCGCGTCATGACATGTCACACCACGTCACAACGTGTCACACTATGTCACAACGTGTCACACCACGTCACGACGTGTCACACCACATCATGACATGTCACATCACGTCACATGTCACGACATGTCACGACACGTCACACCACATCACCAGGTAACACCGGCAGCCCCGGCCCCGCTCACCGCCAGCGAGCCGCAGTCGCACTCCTCGCCCGCCTCCACGAAGCCATTGCCGCACTCTGGGGGGTCCAGGAGCTGCCAGGACCGAGTTGGGGGACACAACAGACACAGGAGATGCTGGGGGTGCCCCCGAGCCCCCCAGAAGGGCATCGTCCCCAGGGAATAGCAGGACCCCCAGAACATCCCCCGCTGGGGACACCGGGTTTGATGCTGCTGCTGTTCCCTGGGACCCAGCAGGAGCCCCGGGGACCCCCAGGACATGGTTCCCCCCAGCATGAGGGGGCCCGGGGGGGGCCGTTACCTTCAGGGGCTTGTTGAAGAGGCAGCTCCCGCCGCCGTCCTGCAGGAACTGGTTGTACTCATCGATGCTGCAGCGGGAGAACTTCCGCGGGAGGTAGTACCTGTGGGGCCGGGGGCACCGTCACCCCCCAGTGCCACCGGGGGGGCAGCACCAGGCTGGGCCCCCGGAGCAGGGCAGGATCTTCGGCAATGCCCCCCCCAAGGGGCACCCACCCTGTGTCCTCCATGATGCAGCCCAGCCACGAGTCCGGACACCGGCAGTCGCCTGGAGGAGAGCAGAGGGGCTGGGGGGGTGCTGCTGCCCTGCACCGCCTTGGTGGCACTTGGGGGTCCCCCTCCCCATTGTCCCCATGGAGCCACCGCGGGGGGGGGGGTGCCGGTACCTGCGGCCGTGCGGTGCTTGTTCCACATCATGCCCACGTTCTGTCCCAGCGTCTGCGCCAGCGTCACCGCCATGGCCGCCACGTTGCCGTACTGCACACGGGAGGGACCGGGGTGGGGGTCACCGGGACGATCCCCCCCCCATCCCCACCCTGCTTCCATGGGGGTCCCACCGCACCCACCTCATTGACCCCCCCGGCACGGGCGGGCGAGCAGATGCCCCCCACAAAAGCGGTGCCGCTGCGGCTGCTCTGGAAGGTCCGGCCCCTGCGAGGAAGAGGATGGTGGGCACCGGGGCCAGCGGCTCCCGGCGGCGGCGGGGATGCGGCGCTCACGAGAAGAGGTGGACGGTGTCGCTGTGCTCGGCCGGGCCCTCCCGCCGGTACTTCACGAACTCCGTCAGCGTCTCCAAGGAGTCTTCCCCCATGCGGATCCGGTCCTCCGAGGCCCACGTCTCCATGGCCACCAGCACGATGCGGGTGTTGAGCTGCTCCTTGTAGATCTGTGGGGACAAGGGGGGGGCACACACCAGTGCTGGGGGTGAAACCGCTCCCTGGGACAAAGCCATCAGGTGCTGGGGACCAACCCGGTGGGGACAATGCAGGGGGCATCGCCCTCAGGGACAAACCCATCAGGCACCAGGGACGAACACCCTGGGGATGAGCTCCTTGGGGAACAAACCCACCGGGTGATGGGGACAAACACCCTGGGGACCCCAAAACCCCCCAACCTCTGTGTGCCAGGGCTCCCCCAGGCCAAAGGGGCTCTCACCATGTCAGCCAGGTTGACCACGGACTTGGCGAAGTTGCTGGTGAGAACCACGGACTTGCGGAGCTGTAAGAACTAAGGGGGGGGAAACAGCAGGGGATAGGATGGCTGGGGGGGGGGGGAGGCACCCCGACCCCACCAGCCCCACCAGCACTCACCAGCTGGTGGTCGTTCACCACAGCCAGCTCGATGTACTTGGTCTCGCTGTGGACCGTGTGCTGGGCTCGGCGGACCTGCCGGTGGGAGCCCGTGGCTGAGATCCGGCAGATCCACCCGCCCAGCCCCGGCAATGGGGCTTCGGGATCCCTTTTGTGGCTGCCCATTGGGATGCATGGAGCGGGGAACCCCCCTGGTATTGGCAGAGTCCCCCCCCCCCGAGCATCCCTGAGCCTGCAGCAGCGGCACCATCCTGCCAACACATCCCCAGCACCCACAAACCAGCCCGGCTGCACCCATGGCAGGGCCGTGCTGAGGCCAAGCCAGCACCCAGAGACCAAGGACCGAGCATCCTTGTCCCCCCCCCAACCTGCCGCCGCCGCCGTAGCTTGGGTAACCCGCCCGCGACGCGCTGGCTCCACACGGGGAAGAGGCAGCCTGGAGGGAAGGGACAGAGCCGGTGGGACACGAGACCCGGCGCCACCAGCACCGCTCCATGGGGACAGGCACCAGCGCCACAGGAAGGCTCACCCGGTTGGGAGCAGTTGGGGATGCGCTGGACCACGTGCGGTCGAAGGCCCTGCCATGGGGAGACGAGCGTCACGGCCCCCCATGGGTGCCCCCAGCCTGCAGCCAGGGCCCTGACGCTGCAGTGTGGGAGCCGGAGCAGGCCCATGGCGGGTCCGGGGGCACTCACCTGCCCGTGCTCGACGCCCGCCTGGGGCTCGATCAGGAAGGTGGCTCTGCCGTCCGAGAAGACCCCGCTGCAAAGAGCATTGGGGGGGTAACGGGGTGCAGCGGGTGCAGCAGCCCCTGCCCCACACACCGAGGGCTGGGGAGCACTCACCTCAGGCCCTGGCAGCTGGAGAGAGCTGCGAAGGAGTGGGGCTGCCCCCGGAGCCGGCCCTGGTAGTAGCAGTGCTCCCCTGCGCCCTGCCCGAGCAGAGAGGGGGGGGCTGAGCCAGACGGACCCTGCCCTGGTCCCATCCTGCCGGTGCTGTGCGGGGTGCTGACCCCTTCACCGGCACCCCCCCTGGCTGGCGGCTCACGGGTTCACTGCCTGCCACCCTTAGGGTGTGCATGGTGCCCTGGGCATCACCCGCCACCAGCACCCATGTGAAGTGCAACTTCCCATCACCCACTGAAACAGCACCCCAATGCATGGGGCACCCCAGGGGCAAGGGGGGGCTGCCTAAGGCCACCCGGCTGGAGATGCTGAGCTGCTGGTGGGCCCCTGATGGGTTTATGAGTGAGCCACCATGACCTCAGAACTGGCACAGAAGGGCTTGACACAGTGATAGAGCACGGCACAGCATGGCACAGGGTGATAGAGCATGGCACAGTGTGATAGAGCACGGCACAGCATGGCACAGTGTAATAGAGCATGGCACAGCATGGCACAGGGTGATAGAGCATGGCACAGTGTGATAGAGCACGGCACAGCATGGCACAGTGTAATAGAGCATGGCACAGCATGGCACAGGGTGATAGAGCATGGCACAGTGTGATAGAGCACGGCACAGCATGGCACAGTGTAATAGAGCATGGCACAGGGTGATAGCATGGCACAGGGTGATAGAGCACGGCACAGCATGGCACAGTGTAATAGAGCATGGCACAGCATGGCACAGGGTGATAGAGCACAGCACAGCATGGCACAGTGTAATAGAGCATGGCACAGCGTGGCACAGGGTGATAGCATGGCACAGGGTGATAGAGCACGGCACAGCATGGCACAGTGTAATAGAGCATGGCACAGCATGGCACAGGGTGATAGAGCACAGCACAGCATGGCACAGTGTAATAGAGCATGGCACAGCATGGCACAGGGTGATAGAGCACAGCACAGCATGGCACAGTGTAATAGAGCATGGCACGGCATGGCATGGCACAGTGTAACACGGCACGCAGCTTACCGTGCTGTGGCTGCCGTTGCTGCCCGCCCCAACGTGCCGCTCCACGTAGCGGGAGGCGAGGAGGTGGCTGCCGGGAGCAGGAAGGGGGTGAGAGGCCGAGGCGGTGGGGAGGAAGAGGAGGAAGAGGCTGAGGGGACAGAGACAGCAGCAGCAGGGCCCTGCCTGCAGCACCCTCATCGCTCACCCACCCCCCATACACGTGGCACCACACCCGTGCGGGACCCCCAGAGGTTGGGAGGGTGCTCGCACCCCCGGATCCCTCTCCCCCCCCGACTCAGCACCCAGGTGCCCCCCACCCCACTGGGACCCCCGGGGCTGCTCACTGGTTCAGCTGGAGGTCGAGGGTGAAGGCTGAGCCGAAGGCACGCACCACGAAGCTCACCCGCGCCAGATGCAGCCCCTGCGAGAGAGATGGAGCCGTCACCCCCCCACAATTAAACCACCATCAACCCCCAGACCCGCAGCCTGTAAAGGGGCGCTTTTACTTTTAACTCTCCCCCCAACCCAACATAAAGGAAAACGTTGCAGTTTTGCCCCCCAAATCATCCCTCCTGCAGCGCAGGGAGGGCACCCGCGCCCCACCGCCACCTCCTCGGTGCATCCTGGAGCATCCCCGCACCGCTTCGTCCGCCCTGCGGTCCCGTCATTCCTGACCTAATTCCTGCCGGCAGCACCAGGGCTGCGCTCTGCGGCTCCCGCCCGAGACCCGGCAAACTCGGCGCACGGGTGAGGGTCCGCCGCCGGCAGCGCATCCCTCGGGAGCGCCGGTACCGAGGGGAAATGGCGGCCAAGGAGAACCCAAACCGTTCCCGGGGTGCCCCCTCCCCTCGCTGGGGGCGGTGACACGGGCACAAGGACACATTCGCCGCCGCACAGCACCGCAGGGAGCGGGGGGGATGTCCCAAGCCAAGACCGTGCCCATGCGGTCGGGCAGGAGGCCACAGAGGCTCCCCAGGGAGCCGGCCCCGGGGGTCCCCACAACCCCGCTTCAACACCTCCTCCGGTGCCGCCGGTGGCGTCCTCCCGGCCTCCGGTGGCTTCCCCCAACTCCGGGTTTAAAGCGCGACTGCGGCGGCGGCTCCTCAAGGTTCCCCCTTTTATCCGGCAGGGATGCGGGGATCGATGCGCGCCGCCGCCGCCTTGAGAGCACCGAACCCGATGGGCTCCGATGGGACGCGGATGCCGGCACCGAAACACCGACAGCACCGGGGGGGTGGACACCGGCCGCAGCAAGCCCGGGGCGGGGGGGAACGGCTGCGGTTGGGGGTCAGCACCGGGTGGCCTCGCTCGTCCTTCCCGGAGCCATGAGCCCGTTCACGCTGCAGGATTCCTGCCCGCTCCCATTTCATCTCTCCCAGTGCCCGCACGCGCCGGTATCCAGGTTTAATGGGATTTCATGGCACACATCCGTGCAGGGGTAGGGGAAGGCAGTGGTGCGGAGTCCAAGGGGACGAAGGCTCCGGTTTCGGATGCTGGGGCCCATGCACATGCTGGGGTGCAGCCGGGTTGGTGACAGCAGCTCCCCGGGGACCTGCCCACCCAGCCGGGGACCCCAGAGGGAGCGGATGGAGGGGGGTTGTGGTTCACTTACAGGGCCTCCTCCTCCTCCTCCAGGCTCATTCCTGACCCTGGTGTCCAGCTGATGCCTCTGGACCTCTCCTCCCGAGCTGTGCCCCACCAGCCTGCTGGGGTGGGTGATCTGGGAGGCGACCCTCCCGTCCTGCCATCCGGACCGGGGGAGCCTCCGCTGCAGCGAGGGGGCCTGCGCGGCGGGACCTGCGGCCAGGGGACACGTTGGGGTGGCCCCAGAGAGGGCTGGGGGCACCGCTGAGGGCTGGGGACAGGGAGGGCTGGGGATGAGGAGGGATGGGACGGGGTCAGGGGGTGACCCAAGGCTGGCGCTGCATCCCGAAAGGGACGCCCATATCCCGGTGGGATGCTCAGGGGACATAGAGGGGGTCGTGGGGGCATGTCCCAGGCTGGAGGATGTGTGTGGGGGCACCCAGGTATGGGCGCATCCCAGAAGGATGGGCTGGGGGGGTGCCCAGGAGAGTGGGGGACCAATTACGGGCACACATCTGGGAGGAGAAGCTCAGGGAGCCTCAGATGTCCTGGAGGGGACACCCAGGGGGCACGGGTGGCTGCTGAAGTGACACAGAGCA